GGGGGGGGGGGGGGGGGGGGGGGGGGCAGCTGCCCCCCCCCCAAAAGATTACAAAGTCGAAAAGTCGGGCAAATGTTCAACAAAAGTCGGGGAAAAAGTAGTGAAAACAAGAAAATCTCTCGTAATAATAACCCCAGTTTGGTGGGCAAACCAAGCCAGTTCAGCAATATTCGCTTCACAGTCGGGAAATATTGGGTTATTATAAAAATAAATGGGACAAATTCTGCCAATTTTGCGGGAAATTATGTAAATTTTGTGATGTTTGGGAAAATTTGTTTGATGTTCCATAAAATTTTGGTATGTCCGAAAAATTTTTGGACTCCTAAAATGGTACACTGACCGAAACTTTTTTGGCGACGGGGGGGGGTAGTGGGGTGAGGAGGTCGCCAAAATTTATTGTTCCGGAAAAAAAAGTTTTCGGGCACGGGTCGGGCACAATTCGAAAAAGTCGGGCAAATTTCTTTCTGCCCCCCTAATTTTTTCCTTCCCGTACGCCTATGGGGATGTGAGCGTTGCTCCAAATTATTTACAAGATTTTGTGAAGTCTTTAGACAAAGGATCAAACAACATGAAAGTTGCACACATCAACATTCGTAGTATTCGAAATAAAATTGACGATCGAAGTGAAACTCCTGTTATACGTATGTCGTTTTGATATTTTGGTTATCACTGAGACACATCTAAATCGTAAAATATCCAACAGTCAACTTGAAATTGAGAATTACAAGATGGTCAGGAGTGATAGAAGTTCAGGAATGGTCGGAGGAGGATGTCTGGTGTATATTGCCAATTAACCATCTTTGTTTCACGCGGCTTAAATCATTTGAATCGACGGATATTGAGGGCATATGGCTTAAGATCATGTTTGAATCATCTGCATTCATCGTAGGTTCTATTTATAGACCACCCTCTGACTCTGAATTCTTTCAAAGATTTTACATTACGTTGGAGAAGCTCTGGCTGAAGTATAGAAATGTTTTGGTAATCGGAGACTTGAATGCAGATTTTACAAGGAATAGAGGAGAAATCACATCAGTAATGGGCAAACGACTTCATAATATACTTCAGCATTTTGACTAGTCAATGATCAACCAACAAGAATCAATAGTGAGACATCCACTTTAATCGACTTGGTAATCGCCAGTCAGCCAAACACCATCAAATGTACGAAAACACTCGAGCTGGGGATTTCAGACCATCTGTTGGTGTATGCATCGGTAAAGAACAAGATTAAGCGACCTCGACCGAAAGTGGTTACAGCTAGATCTTATAAACGATTTGACAACGAAGCGTTTAGAAAAGATGTTGAGGAAGCACCGTGGGCTGTCATCTCTGTCTTTGACGATCCTGATGACAGCTTCTGGGCCTGGTCATACCTGTTTAATGAAATATGTGATAGACACGCTCCCTATAGGCAAGTTAAAATTTGGCAACAGTCATTACCTTGGGTAACTCTCCAGATTCGACATCTGGTGAACTTGCGTCTGAAAACGTTTTTGAAGGCTAAGAAATCAAATAGCCAGGAACTATGGTCTGAGTATCGTAGCCTTAGGAATAGAGTAACTCAAAAGGTCAGGCTGTCGAAAAGTGAATATTATACTAACTTGTTTGATGAAGTTAAGGATTGTCGATCCTATTGGAAACTGGTGAAGAATGCTTCAGGTAGTCGAACTGTCCAGCCAATTTTAGGTATAAGAGGAAACGATCAAATCATCGAAACATCTGACTCGCGGAATGCAGAAATCCTTAATGAACATTTCTCTACTATTGGAGAGAAATTAGCGAGTGAATTATATTCGGATCAAAGTCAGGAAAATCCTTTTTCGCATATTATTCGTGTTACACCAACAGTAACGAATATTGAACTTACTTATGATTCGATTATGCAAGATTTAATGAAACTAAAGAACAATAAAACTTGTGGACCGGACAACATCCCACCAACGTTGTTTTCTCTATATTCAATGTGTGCGTCGTGCAATACTGTCCCAAGCACATGGAAATTTGCAAGAGATTCGGCCTTGTTCAAGGAGGATGATGAAACCGATAAGCAAAATTATCGCCCAATTTCTTTATTATGTGTCCCTGGTAAACTCATGGAAACTCAAGTTGTCTCTACCATCACAAACCATGTTGAGCACCATAATCTTAGAAATAAACACCAGTGGGCTTATAAGAAGGGACATTCTACGCAGCTACTTTTAGTTAATATGACCAGAAGATTGGAGGAATGCACTAGATCGAAAGTTAGTTGTTGGTGTTGTCTTTATCGATTTCCGTAAAGCTTTCGACTCTCTACCTCACAATATTCTGCTCAACAAACTTCAAAGTTTGGGAATTGCAGGTGACCTATGGTGCTGGATAAGAGATTACCTCACTGATCGCCATCAAGCAACCGTTGTAAACGGCTGCAAATCAGAATCTATGCCTGTTAGGTTTGGAGTACCTCAAGGGTCAGTTCTTGGTCCTATACTCTTTTCAATATTCTGTAACGACTTACCAAATGTTGTAGTTGATGAAAATGAGGATGTTGAGATGTATGCGGATGATACAACATTGTACGTAGTAGCTAGGACTCACGATGAAGTTCCCAATATGCTGAATAAAACTTTAAAGAAGTTATATTAATGGTGCTGTCTAAATGGACTGTCTCCTCACCCGGGAAAGACTGAGTACATGCTTTTAGGTCGAGGGAAATTTACTGGTCCACTCCAGGACATCAGATTTGGAAACAATAGTATTAAACAGGTGCTGGTTTCTAGATGTTTGGGATTAGAAATTGATTATCAATTAAATTGGACCTACCATGTTTCTGAAGTTATTAAAGCATTTACTCAGAAGTTGAATATGTTAAAATTATTATACTTCCTACCGAAAAAAGGTAGAGAGGATTTTTACTTCAAGGTTATACTTCCATCCATAACCTACGGACTAATGATTTGGAGCTCGTGTGGCAAGACCCTCATGGATGAAATAGAAAGAATTCATTGAAGTTCGAGCTGCAAAGATCATCTACAAACTGGACTGGAGTACTCCCAGCGACCAAGTGCTGGTGAAAGCTAATTGGAACACTATTAGGGATATGAACTCAAAATGTCTGCTATGCTTTGCATATATAAGTGTTACTATGGTCATGTTCCAGAACAATTACAATCTATTGTTAGAAAAAGTAATTACACATATGATTTTAGAAGGAAGTTAAGTTTAGCCTTACCTGTGCCTAAATCTAATTATGTTAGGAATTCAATATCTTATAAGGCAGCTAGTCTGTGGAACTCTTTAACGAATGACCATGGGGCTTCAAATAATATAGCTAGTTTTAAAACGATTTTAAGGACAGATAAATTTTAAATTTAGGTAATTATTGACTGGGACTGGGTAATAAGTTTTTATAATATAATATAGCTTAAATTATTATTGTAAATACACTACCACATCAGTTTAGCTGTAATCTTATCGTGTTAAAATAAATGCTTTAGTAGTAGTGGTAGTGGTAGTGGTAGTGGTAGTGGTAGTGGTAGTGGTAGTGGTAGTGGTAGTAGTAGTAGTAGTACTAGTAGTAGTAGTACTAGTAGTAGTAGTAGTACTAGTAGTAGTAGTAGTACTAGTAGTAGTAGTAGTAGAGATAGGTGCCACTTTTGAGCTATTTTAAGTAAAATATGAGCAATTTTCAGCCTCTCGTCGCCATCTTGAAAACATAGTTTCGTAAAACTATAAAAAATCGTAGTCAGCAAATAAAGTCGTTCAATCTCCATGAAAACGAGAGAATTAGTGTTAATCTTGCATGTAAACAGTAATTGGAGGGGATAAACGCATCACAACGTTTTTAAAAAATCAGATAAATACTTGTAAAATTACCCTTCATTTCCGGTCTGAAAATACTCTCGCAAGGTCAAATTTCAACATGGGCTAAAATCCTATAAAACAGAAAGTTGAAACATTCTGAAAGAAGCTCGATTAATATTGACCAAAGTCTAGTTCATATGCAAAATATTAGCTAAATCTATTTTTCCTTCCCCAAACCAGTGGGTGGATTTTACTGAGAGGCCCTCTTAAGGTTGGTGTGGTGAACAATTTCCTGCACAGTTTGTTCAAACAAGTGGATGTCTTTTTGAAGGAGAAGCAAGTCACACAGGCTACCGGAACCTACGCGTACCGTGCTTATTTGGAAACCCTCTTGAATTATGGCAAAAGATTCACAGCTCACTGCTGCTTTGTATTACAAAGACACTGCAGGAAAAATGGATATCGCAAATCCTATCACGGCCGGTGCTGCAGGCAACACAGGGCTTGGAGCAAGATACTTTTCAGCAAACTAAGTGGAATTGTTGAAATGACTGGGCCTATATTCAGCGACATATTCATGTCCGAACGTCTCCTGTTGAGTTACGTAGATCTGAAAGTTATTTTGAATCGAAGCAGCGACGAGTTCTGTTTGATAGCCTCCGAGGACGGTGCCGATTACCGCGTGAAACTCACCGATGCTTATCTCAAGATACGTAAAATGAAAGTCAACCCTAGCATTTCCGTGGCCCATGAAATCGCGTTGAAGAAAGGAACGGCCATCTATCCTATTCGTCGCGTCGAATGCAAAAGTTTTATTGTCCCCGCAGGAAATCCCTCCCTGAGGCACGCAGGCTACCTTTTCAATAGATTGGTGGCGAAAACATTTGTCTTCGGATTGGTCGAAAGCGAAGCGTTTAACAGTGCTTTGAAAAAGAATCCGTACAATCTTCAACATTTCAACGTGTCCTCCATTGGAATAACCGTCAACGGAGAAGAAATGCAATTTAAACCCTTGCAGCTTTCCTATGGTGCAGCACCTAAATACATCGAGGCATTCAGCACCCTGTTTTCTGGTACGGGGAAAATGTACTACAACACAGAAAATGATATATCCCGAGAGGAATTCCCCAAAGGTTACGCCGTGTACGCCTTTGACCTGACACCGGACATGTGTGGAGCTTTTCCTCATTTTAACGAGGTGCAGAAAGGAAATTTGGCCATTGATATCCAGTTCTCTGTAGCGCCTGTAGCCGCTGTGAGTCTCGTATGCTACGGAGAGTTCGAGAATACCGTTCACCTCGACTCCGAAAGAAACGTTGTTTACGATTACTCTGGATGAACACTGCCCAGATAACCCATGCCTTGGAACAAGATCCTGTAACAAGCAAGAAGTTCTGTGGCGGTTCCCTAGCGAGAAGCTGGCTCAGACGATAAACAGATATCCGGGTGGATTCTTTGTGAATCACAATTGTGAACACTGATCGAAGCAGTGAACCTGGAACCCATTGGGTCCCCTTTTACTTTCCATCGGAAGAGAAAGGAGAATTCTTTGACAGTTACGGACATGCACCCGAGTACTATATGAACTCGTTTGGAGACTTTTTAAAGTCTCACGCATGGGATTTTAATAGACGTAAATTGCAAAGTGCTTGGTCGGATGTATGTGGCCAGTAATGCATATTTTACCTTATAGCCATAGAGCAAGAGGCCAGAGCATGAGTAATATCGTACATTTATTTAACAATGATACAGTCTTAAATGATACAAAAGTATCCCAGTTTGTTAAGAGGCATTTTAAGGTATTGTTAAAACATTCCAATGTTAACCTTAATCAGTTCAGTAAAAAGATGTTTTCAATAAAATTGTTGTAAAAGACTATATACGTCCCACGTGCGAACCGTGCATAAAAATACCGCCCCAAAGAACTGATGTCAATACAAAATTGGTTTTAAAACATTTTTATTAATACATATGCAAACAGTTACAACTTTTTTTTAATAAGGAAGCCATTGTTTTGGTTTCGCCGTCTGTCTTCTGAGTAAACCACGGAGATATTTTGCGGGACTTGCACGTGGTGATGTTGGTGGTGGTGGTCTCGGTGGCGGTGTCTTAAAAACAATCTCTTCCGCGCCAGACGGGCTGCCCATTTGAACCTGATTCCATCTTTCTTCGTTTCTCGCAACATCTTTGGGTACATTAAGCTTTGACAACACGCCAAAAAATTTCTGGGCTCCCTTGGGATTAAAATTCTTACGTGCCCGCATGGCATCACTGACCAAATCTGATATATACGAATCAGGAATCTCTTTACCATTCACGTTAACTTGACCAGAGTCGCCCCAGGAAATAACGTCAGGTCTTGCTCTCAAACGTTTCAAAAGTGATGTAGCTCTTGAGTGCATTGATGCGGATATGTCCCACCACTTTCGCATCAGATAAAGGCGCTTTCTCTTTGGGCTTTTGTTCAGCATCAGATGCCATCCGAACGGTGGGTATTTGCCCGTCCTTCTGCCGCCTCAAATTCAGATAACTTTCCATGTTCGCATTGTACAATTTCTGTTTCTCGGCGTCGGACATGTCTGCATGGGCGTACCGGAAGGAAAAAATTAGGGGGGCGGAAAGAAAATTGCCCGACTTTTCGGGATTCTGCCCGACTAGTACCAAAAATTTTTTTCCGGAAAAATTATTTTGGCGACCTCTCCCCCCCCCCGTCGCCAAAAAAATTTCGGTCAGTGTACCATTTTAGGGGTCAAAAAAATTTTCCGGACAAACAATATTTTTCGGAGCATAACACAAATTTTCGAAAAATCACAAAATTTGCAAAAAAATTTACTTAATTTTAGACAAAATTGACAGAATTTGTCCCATTTTTTTTTATTGCAAACCAAAATTGCCCGACTGTTCATCGAATATTGCCCGACTGCCCAAAAAACTGGGGGGGCTACCGCCCCCCCCGCCCCCCCCGCCCGGTACGCCTATGCATGTCTGTACTCTGAATACATTGCCGTATCCTGATGCATCATGTTGGATGTAAATGGGGAGGTTTCAAGCCTTTGTTTCTGTTCATAACGATTAAGCACGTCCTCCGGGACCAACACCATTCGTTTTGCATGCTTCATACTAATAAACTTCCGAGTACACTTAACACAGGTGGTAAGAGAGCTGACAGTAAATTTCCACCTTTTTGATTAAGGTACAACTTCTTCCGTTTTCTTGACACTTTCTTATTAGCCAAAGCACGGAGATGTGTCTTGTGATGTGCTAAACGTCGCTTTTGCCAAGGTGTTACCGGGATGACACCTTTGAGCAAATTCAAGGAACACTCACAAATAGCTGTGATGACATTCGCTGGAACGTTATCGATGAGCAATTTTCGCAATTTAGATTTAGATTTGACGATGACTTGAAGATAAGGAAGACTTCCTTTCATGCGCTTTGACATCTTGCAAATGATGACTTTCCATAACACACGTAGTTTAAGTACGTTTCACATAGACAATCTGTTTCTCTTCGGGTAAAATGCTGGTCCTCAATCGCATGTTCTCTGGTGTCAACTGATGACAGTCGATGACTAAATACCCAGAAGGTTCGCTCGTCGCATCGTGAAATGCATCCAGAAGGTATTTGGTATGTTTAAGGAACATCTGCCTGGCAAGTGTGGAAACACCGAGCGAGTCACGTGGGTTTCTAAACACGATGAGAACGTGACTGTTCGAACTGATCGTTCGAGAACGTTCGTCTGGCGGGAACGAATTTTGGGTAAGGTACAGCACGGACATGCCAAGGTGATGGGAATCACGTGTAAACAAATCCGAGACATGTGGGTCGTTGGAACATTGTGACATCAAGTCATCAAGCACGACTAGCGAGTTATCATGTCCGCGGGTTATTTCGCATAAATTATCGGGAAATTCTTCCACGAGAGTCAAATTAGGCATTGATTGCAACATTTGTTCGAATTCTTTCTGATATATGCCGTAACAGTATATTATTTTGGTTGGCACGGGATTAAATAGTTCCTCTGCATGTCGTAACATGGAACGAACCAAATAAGATTTCCCGCTTTGACTCTGCCCACATATATAAAAATTCGCTGGCGTTTTAAATCTCACGTCCATCATGTTCACGTGCACAACACGTACTGTGTTACTATTTGACGTGTTGGTTCGTTTTATAACCAGATTCGAGAAATCATTCTACGAAAAAAATTCTCCTCTTCAACTCAATATGCACTAAAGTCAAAGCTTCTCAGAGGGGCCGCAACCAAACGAACGGCCCTCCGCGTAGTATCTTTAGAGGCATGCATGAAATAAACTAATGTCAGATAGGCCATAGCACGGCCAAAATTAGTCACGTTGATCGTGAGGATTTCATTAGGATTAACATTCACTACCATTTGATTGTACAACGCCTCGTGGCGCTCAAGCAAATCATTAATAGTATGAGATAATGTTCTCATGTCAATATCAACGCCCCGTGTTTGCAATTCGTCTAGTATCACTTCCATCGCAACAAAACAACAAATGAATACAACAAGTGAAACAATTTATTTACATGCTGAACAAATTCAACAAACAATTTTTTATCTACAGTGGTCAACAGATACTATATCTCATCTAAACGATCCTACGTTAAGCTATGACTAGCTCTATCGCATTAATTAATCGGGAAAAATTTATC